GCCTGTTACTTGTGGCTGGCTGCGGGGCCTGGCTGAGCTCAATGATTCCTTTTCTCTTCCCCTAGTTGCTCTGGAGGTGGAAGCCCCATAGCTGTGCAGTCGTTACTACCACACACACGTTCTGCTTTCCTCTCTCCTTCCTTGCTGACAGCCCCTTTACTCGTCAGCTCTGCACACAAACAAGGTTAGCGCCGGTCGAGATTACATTAGTGTAGTTCTGCTTCCCATTACTTTTCACTGTGAGTCTCTTTTAAGGTGGTGTGTGTGTTCAAGGCAGGCACTGAGTGCTGTAAGCTCTCAGAAGGGCATTTTTATTTCAGAAAGGGAAGGATAAGCCAAGGATTCCTTGGATCCAGTAGCGGCTGCTCTGGGCCTGCTCCTTGTAGTGTTGCAGCCAGAGCCACCTCCTTGCAAGGTAGTAAAATCCATGGTGACTGCATTGGTAGCTCTCTGTTGACATCTTGATGCATCGAAGATGCTGATTTTTGTTATGTAGGTGCCAGCTTATACCAACCTTTCTGACAGGGAAAGGGCCCTCTGCTTTAGTCTAATGGGTTGTATAGGCAAAGTGATGAGTAAAGGTGATCAACGAGGGGCTTAGAAATCCCTAATAAAAGGCATCATGGAAACAATGTAAATGAGTGCCTACTATGCAGGCACTGAAAGAACAGCAGGTTACTGTTGGGAGAATGAATGAATCAATGCACGGGATTGTCTGGCAGTGTATAGGAGATCAGGATACAGAACAGAAAGCTGATAATATGCAGAAACCTTTCTTTGACTTTTCTATTTGTTAGAAGTAAGTCTTATTAAGTTCAACTAAATAAAGCAGATTAGAATATTTAACCTAAGGTTTGAGGAAATTAATGTTGAACATACCAAAGCATCAGTTTTGGGGGCTGTGCAGTATTTAAATACTTCTCAACCTTACAGGGATCCTAGTTTTCTCCTACTTCAGGAGCCAAGTTTTTTCCTCGTGTGTATGTGCGGGAGGAGGAACCAGAGACACGTGGAGCTGTGGTGCAGCTCTCAGGTTAATGGTGAAGGTGCAATACTCACCCTGGAACTAACGGACAGCAAAGATGGCCTAAAGTGCAGCAGGGCTCCTGGTCTGCACTTTATGGAGAGATGAATGGAAATGGGAAAGGAAGCATCTTTTTTACACAAGAGAGTAAAATCTATCCTGTTAATACCTCCTCCAAAATTGGTGATGTGATATTTGAGAAGGCATCAAAGCCGCTCTGGTGCTGTAAAAGGTGCCGCTAGCCGAATGGCCAGACTGAGTCATTCTCAGTGCCGGGCCGCAGAAGATGGCTGTGAGGTCTCGGTCCGGTTTGCTTCGGGTCACCCAGACTCTCTAGCTGCCTTGCTGGTGTTTAGAAAGGAGCCACCATCAAGTCTGCATCTGCTGCCTTGAGGGACCCTATTCAGCTGGGGTGAACGGGCAGCACAACAGGCACTTGGAGCTCTCTAGAGAGGCAAACTCCGGTCACCAGGGCTGTGCTTCTAGCACGCTTCACCAGCACGTGTTCCCTATTCCTAAATGAACAAACAGTCAGGTTGTCACGGCTTGTCAGCAATTAGAGCTGCCAAAGCCAGTCTTGCTCTGAGTTTTTGCTGGCTGATCCTCCCCAGGGGAATGGAGCTTGAAATAGGAAATGTTACGTTATGCCACAAGGGAGGCAGAAGTGGCTTGTTTGTGCTGCACACTGAATTTCAGTGCCTGGCATCTTGGTGTGAATATCCAGCTGGTCCTGCAAGGGTAGGAGGCCCCCTCCAAAACTCCCACGTATGGTCACAGTTTGACTGGCTGGTATGTCTCTAGGGGCACGTGCTTACATACTCTGAGAGTTTTCCAAGTCTGTTCTTTGAGGGGAAGTTTTGGGTTAATTTTGTGGTCTGTCAGTGTTCAACTGTCTGGTCGTTGCCATCAATGTACCATAAACAGCCTCTATCAAGCTGTACAGCCCAGGGGACTGTTTTACCCTTGACCCCCTCCAGAAAGGTGAGCACAAACTTGAAACGTCTATAGAGCGCTCAGTGACTTGGGTCTGCTCATGAAAGCTCAGGGGTGCTTAAAATGAGCTGAGTGTTTTAGTGGTGTGGTGCACATGTACCATGCGCATCTGTACGTAAAAATTCCCGTGGTCTCCTCCCCCAGCGAAGCCGATGCCTGCAATGAAAGTGACTTCCTGCTGTCTCCCACGCTGCACGCATCACCTGTGAGCGCTGTGCCACTCGCTTCTTATAAACTTGAAAGGTATTTTTGTCGTCCTAGGGCTTAGTAATTCTGTAATCTGTTTGTAGGCGTTAGAGCTTCCGTGTCTGTCTAAGGCAGCAGCCTCACAGAGGTTTGTGGAGCAGCTCTGGGTGTGAGCTTGCAAGCTCACTGCTTTTTTTTTCCCTCTTCATTCTCAACAGCAGTTTTGTTGTAAACACCAGAGCTGTGGTTGATAAACTTTATAGGAGATGGTGTTTGTGCTTTCTGTGTTGACTGCTGCTTTAAATCCCGACTGCACCTGTTCCATTCTGCGTAAAAACAGCCTCTATGTCCAACTGTGCAGTCCTCAAGGTGTGTTATGGACTCGGCACACGCTGCCTCCTGCTCCTCGTGTTGTGCCTACATGCACTACTGTAATGCTGGGTTTTACATTCTGACCCAGCGAGTGAATTATAAATGTCACTTCTGCCCTGGTCCTGTCTCCGCTTTGGGAAAGCCGTGCGTTTCTGGCCCTTGCTCTAGCTCATGTGAGATGAAACCTTAAAGGGAAGAAAGCGAGCTGCAGCTTTCTCTCAGAACAATAAACTAAAGCAGAATGGAGAGAGGATATTGAGGGCTTACCCTCAGTAGAAAGCTGCAAGTTACTGGTTTTTATTTATTTATTTATTTATTTCCACTTCTTTTTCTACCCAGTGAGAAAGAGATTGGGCATTTTAAGGTACGTACATGAGCCATAAGGCTCTCAGCGAGGAGGTGATTAGCACCAATGGGTGCAGCTTTCCAGATTGCTCTTCCAGGAAATGGGCTGAATCCACATCTCAAAATTAGAGAATTAAGGAGCAGCTGTCCTCTGCTAATAACTTTTGCCATTTATTGGACAGCTTTTGAACCAGAGATGGAGTCATTCTGCCCATCTGTATTTCATTCCTAGTGTCCTGAGAAAGTTGTTTTTGCACAGATTTTCACTTTTGCTTTGTATTAATACTCCACAGTGCAGGAGTTTCTGTGAAAAGGGGATTACACTTGAATTCCCTAGGAGCTGTCCACAGGCAGTGGGGTGGGGGAATAGCTTCCTCCTTTGAACCTGTGGAAATTTGTTGTTGGGCACCTGCTAAGGGCTTTGGAGGCTGTGTTGTGTGACAACATTAACTTCTCTTCCTCTTTGATTCTATGAGGAATTCGAAGACTTTTAGAAGTTGACACCTACAATGAGGAATCCTTTTCTTAATTTTTATTTCAAAGGCAGCTACAATGAAAGGCAAATAATCTATTTCAAACAACCCTGCATTTGACTATTCAGAAATGGCAGAGTGACCTGCAGAAAAGGAAACTGTAATTGCTAGTACTTGTGAAGCCAAGACAGCGCAAATATGGCCACAGCCTGGAGAACTCTGTTCCGATTCCCCAAGGCAAAAGGGAAGGTGAAAGTGGGGTAGATGCCTTGTCCTGACTCAGTTTGGTGCTGAGTAGCTATTCTAGAAGCTTATTTTCTTGTTAATGAACAGAAGGCAAGGCAGGCTTGTTTTGCTTTATTCAAACTTGTAAACCCTGCCTCCTCCCCATTTTACTTCCCTTCCTCTTAAGGCACATGGGTGGTTTTGTGGTCTCTGTATCCGGTCTCTGTGTGATACAGCATGTGCACTGAGGAAGCAGGACAGATAAAACACAGCTCATGTTTCTGGGAATCCTTCCCTCACTGCAGATGGGGAAGTGTTGTGCTCCCAGGCACTGGTAGATAAGGTGCTGGGCTGTTGTCCCACTGAAGTGACATACTTGTCATACTGCACACACACAGTGACATACAGTTGTCATACTGAAGTGAAGGTGCTTTATGAGTAGTTCCCTGCAGGACTTATGAGATGGGGGACGTGGATCTTCAGCAGGGTGTTGCTTGGTTTCTTTCTAAATTTGTACACTGCCTGACAGCTTTATAGATACGTTATAAGCTGTGAATTGAACAAATTTTATACTGATTTTGTTAACTGAGGATGAGTGACGTGGTTAGAATTGCTCAGGGCATGTGCAGACCAGATAGATTTAGAACCTGCAGAGAGTACAACTGGCAGAAGGCTGAGGCCTGGGTTTCTATATCCAGCAGCTGGGTAAGCAGCCTCCAAACTGTGCTACTGGCACGTGTCCTGCCGACCTGGTAGGAAAACTCCCTGTGAACGAGGGGCAGTTTAGTCAGGCGAGCTGGTTTCTCTGCTGAGGTGGTTGAACCAGGTTAGTTAGAGCCAGGTGTATGTGGATTGTGTTGCTAATGCCAACGTCATCTATGGAGGAAACTCTCAGAGTCTTCTTACACTGCTGTAGCATTTTGCTTGTGGGCCAACGGACAAAGCTTGAGGGTGTCTCTGAGCTTGGTATTACATATCTTTAAAAAAGAAGCCATACAGTGGGCGTCTGTTGGATGCCTGTTGTTGTAGCTAATCCTGTGTGTGTTTATCCTGTACTTGAAAATGACAACGTGTACCTGATAGCGTTCGGATTCTTCTGTCTTGTGTTCTTTGGAGGTGCTGGGGATAAACTGTAGAGTCCTGCAAAGCAAAGGGATAAAGATAGAATTAACAAACCCATTTTGATTACCTCATACTTGTTTTTCTCCTTGTTTTTCTTGACCTTTTCTCAGGGGATGGGGGCAAGAACTATAGTGGAGTCTTATTTGTGTGTGTTGAAGTATATGCATACTGAGAACCAGCAATAGCCACTTCTCCTGCTACAGTCTGGAATTTAGCTCTGGAAAAACAAAATGCAGTTTGGAGAACGTGCTCTGAGGATTATGTTACAAAGCCATGGGTAGGGCCTTGTTGTTTCTGTCGGCTGCTTGGCCCTAGATGAGCTATTGGGGCAAATCTGTTCTCCAGTGAAGATAATTTGTTAACATCTTTGTATAGATGTAAACCCAATCCAAAAGAGAGTAAGAAAGAGTTGCTTTGAGTGGTTTATATAGCTAGAGCACTCTGGTAGTTTAAGGTACTGGCCTGGAAATCTATTTAAAACGCCAATTTTCCTGAGCTGTGCGGATATGAGGATGTGCTTTGCTCTATGTCTACCTTCTTTTTCACACTGCCTCTGTACAGTGCTCAGCACATATTTGCGTTGTGCTTTAAGGAGTTACTATGTATTGAACAGCAACAGACTTTTCCCCTCCTTTTCTTGCAGGTTGTAGCTAAGAAGTGAGCAGGATGCCCCCAGGCATTTACTGCCCTGTGGAATTCTGGTCCAAGGGGGAAAACCAAAACATCCAGGTGGACTTTCTGCTGCCCACAGGCATATACCTAAACCTCTCTGTGTCCTGTAATGCCAGCTTGGGCACCATCAAGCAGGTAACAGCCTTATTGCTTGGTTTGATCTGCAGTCTCCTGGAACTAGGAGTCTGTTCTTGGGAGCACTTGGGGAAATGTGCTTGGTCTTAACACCAGTTTGGTTTCTTCTGCATTTCTTTAGACAGTTCCTTGTGATTGATTCTCAAGTCCTTCCTTTCTGACATGGCCTCTGCAACCCACTAAAATCATGTCTAGCAGCTGAGACTGTCAGAGACAGGGTGCTGATGTCAGTGACCACTAAAATCATGTCTAGCAGCTGAGATTGTCAGAGACAGGGCACAGGACCCAGATGTCAGTGGCACAGGGGTCAAACTGCTGGCTGCTTGGCCAACCTTGAGATGCTATTTAGTTCTTGAGTAACTATAGGATGAGGCCAGATTTGGGTTGTTAGTGTGGGGTGGACGGACCTAAGCCAACCAGACCCCAGACTGGATTTTTCGTTACGAATGCTCTTGGGTGTGCAGATGCAAGGACAAAAACTCACCCCTAAGTAATCAAATACAAGTGCTGGACTGCCTCAAAATATTCAGGTGGTCAGCCTAGCCTCCTCTTGCCTCACAGAAACTGAATCCTAAAAACTGACACTGTGATGAGAGAGATTTTTTTCTTGGTGTTTTCATTGTGAAATAAAATGCTGTAGTGAAACCATGTGTAAAAGAAATGAAACCGCTTGCTTGTTTCCCCGGGCAGGAAGTGGGGGTATGGGAGAATGAAGGAAAGCAGAATGGAAAAGGTTTTCTTTGCAGCAGCAACCTGGCCTAGATGAGTCACAGATCACAAGGGACAGAAGCACAGTGCCAGATTATTCCAAGTTTTCTCAGGCTGCAGTTTTCAGGTCAAAAAAAAAAAAAAGAAAAAAGAAAAAAGAAAAGAAATCCTGCAAGCAGCGCTTAGTCCCAGCTGCTAAGGTCTGTGTTTTTCAGCCAGCAGGTTCACTGGGTCACATCAAAGGCCTGTCTACCTCAGGATTTTGTCTCCTATAGCACGTACTTAGTGTATGAATAGGATATGAACAGTCATATGTAAATGTCGTTCCCCTGGAGGGAAGGGTAGTAGAGAATTGGATAGAATTCAAAAGTCTTAGGAAAAAATTCTGGCTTTGTCACAAATTTCATATTTCTGAGGGCGAGTGACTTGATCCACTTTTGCTTCCAGTGGGAGTGACACCTCTATTTCACGAGGCCAGCAGTCAGCAGTACTTACTGTGCAGCATTCAGGTGGGAGTTACTTAAATACCAAGGCAGAGGGATTTACTGTGCCTGAAACAAATGGCAAGTGCAGAAAAGGAAGTCAGTTAAAGACTCTTGCAGATAAATCTACCAGCAGTTCAGCAAGAGTTGCAGCCACCAAGCCTGGCTGAAAAGCAGCCTATGACTACTGGTCCAGGAATGCTGTGACAAGACTTTGCTCTGCATTCCCTTTGTGGAATGACATGTCTTTGCGTGGAGTTGATACTGAGAGGAAGATAAGTCCTGACGGCAGTAGTTTTATTGTGCTGTTGGTCTGCCCTAGGTGGTGTGGCAGCATGCACAGTATGAGCCGCTATACCATATGCTCAATGATCCTGAGGCCTATGTGTTCACGTGCATCAACCAGACAGCAGAACAGCAAGAGCTGGAAGATGAGCAACGGCGACTCTGTGACATCCAGCCCTTCCTGCCGGTGCTGCGGCTTGTGGCTCGAGAAGGCGACAGGGTCAAGAAGCTCATTAACTCCCAAATCAGCCTGCTCATTGGGAAAGGTCAGTTTTCCCCCATAATGACCAAAGGCTGATTGCCCCTCTTGGGTGCAGGTGCTTATTTTTTCTCTCCCTTTCTCTCTTAGGTTTGCATGAGTTTGATTCTGTGCAAGACCCAGAGGTGAACGATTTCCGCATCAAAATGCGCCAGTTCTGTGAGGAGAGAGCAGCAAAGCGGCAGCAGCTCAGTTGGGCAGCTTGGATGGAGTACAACTTTCCTTTGCAGCTGGAGCCATTGGCCAAAGGCTTTGGGACAGGCCCCCTACAAACCCCCACCAAGAACATTTTTGTCAACGTCAAGTTTCAGTCTGGCGGGGTAAAGCACAAACTTTTCTGTGACAGTGTGTGACTGGTTTGTGCTTTCTCTTCGGGCATTCACAGACAGCATAACGTGTGTGGACAGTGTTTCCATGTGTTCGGTATTTGTCTTCGTTCTCCAGACCCTGTTGCCTGTGGATATGGTTGAGAGGGAATTTTTGAGCCTCTAACCAACATGCTCCAAGGGAGCCATTACCACTCTTGAACATGCATTGAGGGTCCTGGTTAGCTGGCAGCTGAGGTTACTGTATGCATGTGTGGGAGCAAGCTTTTTATGCACGGGTGGGAAAGGAGCAGAGAGTCCAATATATATCATTCATTTTCAGGCTTAAAGAGTCCACTCAGCTTGTGCTCAGTGTGCACCGCTTGCAAGCACTGGCCTGTGCTGCCCATGGGCCCCTGCTCTTCCTGCTGCCCTTGGTTAATGCTGCTTTGTGCATGCTGAGCTTGCATGTGAAGCAGGAATTGCCCCCGGGGCAGGAGAAGGGCCTTCCAGAGTGATGTATTTGAACAAAGTGACCCCAGCCACCACCTGCTTTGCTGGTAGGAAAGCAGTTGGAATGCTCACAGTGACTTGCAGCCACACATATTGGTGATGGCGCTTACATTGTACTTGAAGTTCCTGATTTCCAGACGTGTGCTTGCATTGCAGAAATATGCTGCTGCCCAGTTTGGCAAGCATCCCTACTTATTTGCTAATGTGTGTGTTGTGAGGGGAGGTAATTCTGCTTTTCTAGCCTTCTCTTTACTGTGTCAGCAATAGCAAAGTTGTCACTTCCCTGCTGAGCTTTGCTTGCTCCTTGAGGTGATTTCAGCCCTTTGCTGATATTTGACAGCATACGCTGTGTTGTTGGGATTGCAGGAGAGCTTCACTTTCCAGATCTCCCCAAAGGAGTTCCCCATCACGCTCATGAGCTATGCTATCAAGAAGCAGGCTACCGTCTTCCGCCACGAGACTCTGGAGAACCCAGAGGATTATACCCTGCAAGTGAATGGAAAATGTGAATATCTCTATGGAAACTACCCCCTGTACCAGTTCCAGGTGAGCCCTTGTCTTGTTGTCGGTGGGTGAGCACTGCCCCCACGTGTCCCCGTCCTGTTGGGAAGGCAGGGTGAGACGTTCCAGGTGAGCCCTTGTCTTGTTGTCAGTGGGTGAGCACTGCTGTCCTGTGTCAAGGAGGCTCTTTGCAGGAATAGAGCCCACTGATGGCAGGAACCTGGCTGCTGCTTAGGACAGGAGGTACTCTCAAGATCCTAATGGATCCTTTTGCTTTTGGAGGACAACTGATCTAAGCCCATGCCAAGTATTTATAGATTATGATTCTAGAGGTGACTGTTGGCTTAGATGATGGGGTCGACTGCTTTTCCTAAAAGTTGGGCAAGTAATCCTGTATCCTTTGTTCCCTGCTGGCAGGGATGCCGACTCCTCAGCAGTTTCCTTTAATGCAACTGTCTGAGTGGGTGAGTCAGCTGACAAAATGCTGCATGTGATGCCCATCACATTCCTGGTGCTATCCACATATGTCTAGTGGGATGTGGGTTTATAAAGCCAGAGGATATAATTTAAAACTGAATTTTGATGGCTGCTGGATCCTTTCCATATGCTGTTCACCTGTACCTGCCCTGCTTCACTGCCTTTGCCAGCCTAGGGCCATATCATCTGTGAAATGTCCTGTCTTTGCAGTATATCCGCAGCTGCCTGCACCGAGGCCTGACGCCCCACCTCACCATGGTGCACTCCTCCACTATCATTGCGATGAGAGATGAGCAAACCAACTGCATTGCCAACCCCCCAAAGCTGGCTGCCAAGCCTCCCCCACTCCCTAAGAAGAAGGTAAAAGGATGCAGTGACCCAGCCTGGTCACCCTCAACACACCCATTGATGAGATGCTATTGTAGTCTGGGAACACCTCCTGTAGAAGCTGGTTCCCCCTGACGCTCTCAGGTCAGGTTCCTAGCAAGGCCCCAAGAGCTGGAGATGCCCAGTCTTCCTCTATCCTGCTGCAATACGGTGCTCTTTTCTGCTGGCCCAAAGTCCATGAGGAGAGTCCAGCAGTAGAAGGCCAGCAGCTAGGAAAGCTGATGTCTTACCCTCAGAGTAGCTCTTCGCTTTCCTCCTTGCAGTCTCCCTCAGTGTGGGTGCTAGCAGGAGTGACATTGGCTGGTTGTGGCAGCGGGGAGACACAGAGGATGTTTGGGTCCCAGACTGTCTCTGACATAGAAACTGTGACAGTGCTGTTGAAGGGGACATAGAAACTATGACAGTGCTCTTTAAGAACTATCCCTGGGCTAGTGTCAGCAGTGCCACTGCTCAGGAGTGCATTGCCTGTGTGGCTACAATAATCCCCTCTGACTCCCTCCCCAGGGAATGGAGAAGTTAACACAGAGCTGAGAGGTAATTGTGCTGTTTTGGTTTGAGAATTCTTTGTTTCTCATCTGAGCTGTTCTTTCTCTCTAGCCAAACTATGGTTCTCTCTGGTCCCTAGAACAATCCTTCTACATTGAGCTGGTGCAAGGCAGTAAGGTCAATGCAGATGAGAGAATGAAGGTAAGTGCTGACTCTGGTTTGGTTTGGTTTTGTATTTTGGCTTCCTTGCTTTGCCTGTTGCTTGTGTGAGGTGAGGAAAGCAGGGGCTGGCACTCTCCTGTCATGTGGTCCCTCTTTATGTTTCATTCAGCTCTTGGGCTGCTTCTAGCCTCAGGGCAGCAGGAAGGGGAAGGGAACTTGCCAGCCAGCAGCCCAGCCACACGGCTGTGTGTTCTTAGAAACATCCCTCTGCTAGAGTTTCAGAGTAGCAAGCAGAACTGCTGCTCAGTGGCAATGATCGCTCGACACTGTAAAAGGGCAGAGAAGCCTGCAGAGAGTGCAGGGGAGGAAGCTCATCTCTGAGAAGAGCGAATGGTAGGAGAAGAGGTAGCTGGTGTAGTTAGGGCACAAAGCATGATACAGCAAAGCCCTGGGATACACAAGGGGGACAGGCCAGTGAGATGAAGGGGGATGGCCACACTTCAAGAAGGGAAGAAAACAAGCCTAGAATATATTAGATATGAGGAAAGAGACAGGAGTAGGGTCTCCTGTTTCCTGGAGTGGACTGTCTGTCCCATTCTTCTACTAGTCAAGTGTCCTTGGCAAACAGATCAGGTCCATGTGGATTCATAATGTTCTCTTATTTCTCTGTCCCTCAGCTGGTGGTTCAAGCAGGTCTTTTTCATGGCAATGAGATGCTGTGCAAGATGGTGTCAAGCTCTGAAGTGAACGTATGCTCGGAGCCTGTGTGGAAGCAGCGGCTGGATTTTGATATTAACATCTGTGATCTTCCCCGCATGGCGCGGCTCTGCTTTGCCCTCTATGCTGTCATCGAGAAGGCAAAGAAGGCACGTTCCACCAAGAAGAAGTCCAAGAAAGCTGTAAGTAAAGTCAGTGGGGCCTAAGCCAGGCTTTCCAGGGCTGGAGGGGGCACAGGATGCCATTTTGAGACAAATACCTTCTGCTTTCAAAAGAAGACTTACTAGAAAAAGAGCTCACAGTGTGGTGGCCAGTAACCTCCTCATTAGAACAGGAATCAGAGCAGTTCTGCCTGTAGGAAAGGGTGTGTTAACTGAAATTTATTCTCCAGAAAGACAGTTAGGAAACATACCCAGCATGTAAATGCACTTAATGCACTTAAAGTGTTGGTTTCTCTGTTTTGCTTTTCCACAACTTCCTTGTTTTATAGCTGAGGTTAAAACCATCTTGTATGTTGCAGCTTCTTTCTAGCAAGGTCTTTCATGTAAGTCCCTCATGGGGCAAATTAAAAACTTAGAAAGGGGAAGAAAATGAAGAATGTAAACACTGCTTACAGCAAAGCTATAGGTGAGATAGAATTTGAAGTGCAGTCTTCAAAGTTACTCCTCAGATGCTGCAGGTGGAGAATGGGAAGTGTTAAATTCATTTTGGAAGCTTTTGTTTTATGTTTCTGATTCAGAGTTGTAGTGATTTGTTTTCTCCTCTATTCCCAAACTTCTCAATCAAAAATAACTATGAAAAAATCTAAATGCAATCTGTAGTTGAATGCTGATTTTCTGGTTTGTAACCACAGTAAGCCTGATTTGCATTTGGAGAGTTTTTTTTTTTTTGTGAGGAAAAAGACCCCTGTTTCTCTGCAAATGATTGTTTATGCAGATATAAAAATACTTTCACTGTGCTTTAAATAGGGAATTAGTTCTGCTTCTTTTTACTAGTGTGCAAATAAAATTGAGAGATTGACAAATGCTGTCACAGAAAACTTTAGCTCTGCTAGCCTCAGTTGTGCTAGCTCCTCTGTATTGTAAGTAGTTTTGTTGAGCTTTCCTGACTTGGCGCCAGTAAGGTTTACAGTGTGTTAGTATCTGGGGACTTTGATGCAATCCATGAGTCCTGTTTGCATGGACCATTTTCCAGGTTGGCAATTTCAGACTGGAAACATTGTGAGTGAGCACCAGGATGAAGCTTTTATTGTTGTTTTTGTACTTAAGTATAGCAGAGCTCCAACTCCTGCTGGAGGCTTTTGTCTAACAGAATATCTGATTCATCCACAGGCTGCATTTTTGGTGGTCACACAGGAACAATTTGCAGTTTTGAAGTAGTCAGAAGGAAATTCTGCTGTTCCAACAAAGCCAGCTTGGTTAGCTGAGTTGATAGGATCCTGTTCATGTGCATTCCGGTGATGGGGAGAGGTGGGTGGGTTCTCATGGGCTTTTAATGTTCAGTGTTTGCTGGACCCGGACTCTGAAGAATGGATTTGTCTGTGTGTTCTCATTGCAGTTCTGAGTGAGGTACACAGGTCTTGCTTAAAATAGTTGGTGGCTGGAGGTTCCAGTCAAGCTGCACTCTGATTTTATTGCTGATTAATACGCTTTTTGCTTATTGCTCAATATTCAGAGGTTAGCTGCCTGCATGTTTGTGATGCAGACAGTCCAGATCAAGAAGGTGGGACTGAATCATTTACTTCCATGAAAATAAGCCTGCAGACTGACTGGGATGAGTCAGAGGGTTAATGTCACTGGTTGGCTTTCAGTGTGTCTTAAGTCATGCAGGAGATATTTCTGTCCTTGTGATGCTGAATTGTTGCTCTGCTGGACCTTATCCTCTCAAAATCTTGCCTTGCATTTTGGCAGGGTCCATGCTGTGGTTTGATGGCATTTAGTTTGATGGAGAGGGTTACTGCTGGTGGTGGTATTGTGACTGCCTCTTCCCTGGGGTCTGGAGCTAATGTCTCAAATGGGATCTTGCTGGAAATGCTTAGTATAATCAAATCAATTAAAAGGCTTATGAGAGGCCATTTGGATATGAGTTGTTTTGTTATATAAAGGGAAAACATTGATACCACTAGCTCCCCCAAGTCCTTTGGTGTGTCTTCTGGGGAAGACTAATATGTGCTCAAGAACTTCTCACTAGAATTTTCCCTTAGAGGTTTGGCAAGTGAATTTTTGTGCTCAGTGTTTTCCGAGCAGCTGGGTAAAATGCTGGTGCAGTTGTAACTTATGTGAAGCAGCTGTTCCATCTGGGGAAGCTCAGTGCACAAAAAATTAGGTCCCTTGTAGAATCTCTTGTTCTAATGGCAGAGAAGTGGGTTAGAGCACAGAGACAGGTTGTCCTTCTTGGCCATGCCCTGGTCTCTTTGCTTATTGGAATCCTCCTCGTCCCAGATAAGCCTGGCTTGTGCTACTGAGCTGGTCTTGGGCTTGCGTATGGGAGGAGATGGCAGCATAAAGTTTGAAATCTGTCAGAAGATGCTGTTAATCGTTGTATCAGTACCTGCTATATCCACGATTCTTTGTCTAGTTTTCCAAACTCATGTCAACTGCCACATTCCCACTTTCAAAGCTAGAATTCTTCACCTTTGCCTCAAGATGTGAAATACATGACGTGTGAGTCCTGCAGAGTAGCAGTACCATACTGGAAACCTCCAGATTCTAGAGATGTGCAAAACGGTGGGTGCGACATATTTATGGGAAGATTCTAGTGCCATTCAGCACTACAGTGCACACGCTCCTGGATGTGAAGTTACCTGCCTGTAGCGTTCTGCATAGGGTTTGCTTTGCATCGGTTGTTTCCTTTCTTTCCTTCATCCACCTTTTACAATCCCAGCACTCAGAGCAGCTTCTCTCCTTGCCTTGCAGGACTGCCCAATTGCCTGGGTGAATGTCATGCTTTTTGACTACAAGGACCAGCTGAAAACGGGAGAGTGCTGCTTGCACATGTGGTCCTCCTTTCCAGGTATGCCAGGAGCTAGAGCTCCTGTACTGCTCTGTGTCTTTACTGCCCTCCACGAAGATGGGATTTGTCTTGTGGTCTGTTCTGCTGGCCTAGGTGGTAGCAGTGGCCAGAATAGCTCAGCTCAGACTAATAGTGTTACAGTAACATCCTGGGCTGACAGTCCCACTACAACTACTGCGGTATATTGCAATGGCACCTGGAGCCCTGCCAAGATCAGTTTGGTTTGGCATTGCACACATGCTGTAAGAGGTAGCTGCTCTCCTAAAGGTATCACATATTCTTGTGTTCTGATGCTAGCAAAATGAAGTGACCTGCTGAGGCCCAAGACAGCTGGAAGCAGTTCTGTGCCCTGCCAGATCTTCAGCTTAGAGTCTAGGGGTTTATGTCCTTTGCTTTCCAGATGAGAAAGGAGAACTTCTGAACCCCATGGGTACAGTACAGTGCAACCCCAACACAGAGAGTGCAGCAGCCTTGGTCATCTGCTTCCCCAGCATTGCTTCACATCCTGTATATTACCCGTCATTTGAACAGGTAGGGGACACGGATGCTTTGCGGGGAGATAGAGAAATTTCTCTATCTTTGCTGGGTGCAGGAGCATGCAGTGCCACGGTGTCCTGGGTAACCACTGACAAGGGATTAGATGCAAAAAAACCTGGCAAATGGATATTTTTAACTGAAAACTTGGCTCTTTCTCATAACCTCATACACCTTTGGGCAAATAATTTTCCAAGTATGAACTACCAAGTTAAATCTACTCTCTCCTGTAGGCTTTTGTCTACACATAGGTTTAACCAAACTGCCTTTAAACTGCAGGCTGTGTTATTGGGCTCAGCAGGGGGAGGAATGGGGGTAAAGGAGTGTAAGGAGACAGTTTCCTCCTTTTCGGCTAGAGTGCTGGCATGTATGGGCGTTCTCCATCTGTCACTGCACTGGCCAGACATTAAAAGAAGAAGAAATGTGGCTGTTTCAGGAAGGGAAGGAGTTCTGCTCTGTGGGGACATACACTCTGCTCTCCTGTGATGCATGTTCTGGCTCGGAAGCTTGAACAGATCACACCCACGTGCCAGGCGGCTGGGCAGTGCTGTCTGTTTGGCAAACAGGCATCACTTCCAAGAACCTGGAATGGCTTGTGCTGGCCTGGCATTCAGCGACCAGAGCTTCCTTTCCTTGGCCATATGGGCGTGCAGACATGCCCTTCTCATCCCCTGATTCTCCAGACCTCAGGGGAAAAGGCCCATGGGCAGTTAGGTTACAGCTCCGAGCAGAGGGGTTCCTGTGAGCATGTTATCTACATCTGGGCTATCTGAGAGGCATGACTTGCTTCTCCAGAGGTGGCAAGGGACTGGTCTCAAGTTGTTATAAATACCTGATGGGTGGTGAGCTAGGATGCAGAGGAAATGAGGAGCCTTTCTCAGACTCTGTATTTGTGTACCAGCTGCTGGAGTTGGGGAGAAATGGAGAACAGCCCCGCACTGCCCTGGAAGACCCTGAGGAGGTGAGTCTCTGGCCTGCACAGTTCTGCAGCTGGCTACATGCAAGCTTGGTTTCTTAGATCAAGTCATCTGTTGCCATCTTACCCCCAACCAGCTCTTTTCATCAAACTGGGCCAGGCAACCCTGTGGCCCCAGTCCTACAGTGTCTCCTTGGGTTGAGACTAAGCCCTGTGTATGCTCTTTCCTGCAATTTCCATGAGCAGAAACTGCAACTGAAGGAGATACTGGAACGGAGGAGCTACACTGAGCTCTATGAGCACGAGAAAGACCTGGTCTGGAAGATGAGGTATGATGTCCGTGACCAATACCCCCAAGCTTTGGCAAAGCTCCTTATCATCACCAAATGGAACAAGCATGAAGATGTTGCCCAGGTGAGGGTGCAAGAAGTCTCAGTACTGCCAGAAAGGGATGGCAGCAGGTCCCCCTGTTTGACAGTTCTTGCACGTACATGTCCCTGTGCTGTGTCCTTACTTCAGGGACTTTGATAGGACCTTCTAAAGTTCTCTCTCCAGCTAACTATGCTGAGGAAAGAGGAAAGAGACTTTTCCCCAAAGACCTTGTTCCACTCACTGCTTACACAGCACATGTAACTGCCATGGCCTGGGAGATCACCTCTCCTGTCAACCTCTCTAGCAAGTTTAGACTGATGTGTTTTGACCTGCCCTCTGCAAAATGTCTCTTTAAGATCTATAAATACCTACTAAGAAGTGAGGCTTTTTTTTTTTTCTCTCTCTCTTCTCTCATTAGAGGGTCTGCTCTTCCCTCATTAGAATTTTAGGGGCATATAGATTTTTGAGAATTGTTTTAAAAATCTTTGTTCTTTCCCCCAAACCTTTACAGATGATTTCCCTGCTTCAGACCTGGCCAGAGCTGCCTGTCCTGAATGCCTTGGAACTGCTAGATTTCAGCTTCCCTGACCGTTATGTTGGCTCCTTTGCTATCAACTCATTAAAGAAGCTGACGTAAGTGTTCACAAAGGGTATGGGGAGCCCCTTTCTATTGGCATTTAGGGCTGCTGAAGGTGATTTTTACACCTGTATTATCTATTTACATATATTACTATCTACTTACGTTTAGGGCTGTTGAAGGGGACTGTAAACAAGACTTTTCTGTATTTATTTTTTTTTGGGTAACTGAGTAACCTTGTTGCAATGAAGATGACTTTTTGCTTTCTATTCCCAGAGATGGTGAATTGTTCCAATACCTGCTACAACTGGTCCAGGTGCTTAAGTATGAATCCTACTTAGACTGTGAATTAACCAAGTTCCTACTGGACAGGGCGTTAGCCAACCGCAAGATAGGCCACTTCTTATTCTGGCATCTAAGGTAAGGAGCAGATGTCTTGGGCTCTTTGTAATGAAGTGAAACCACCATTTACTGGATTCTCAATTGTGCTGTGAAGTGAAACAACAAGCACATGTGTGTGTGTGGTTCAACTACTGAAAAGCTGTTGGCCTTTTTTTTACCCAATATCTTTCACTGAAGCATTTGTGGGACTTCCTTGCCATGATTATGAGAAGCCAGGAAATGTCAAATCTGGTCTCAACTGAAAATAACTATAAAAATGGCATCGCCGTGGCCCCATTCTCGTTCAGCAGATGTGAACTGCTGCTTTTTCCTTGGGAAACAGATTATTTCAGAAGGACAAAAAAATTCATTTTGCAGCTGTATGTATGTATATTTTGTATATATGTGTGTATATGTGTGCGTGTATATCCATACATATATGTATATATGTACATATACACGTATACGTACACACACACATATACAAAGATATGCATGCCTGGAATTGAAATTTAGTTTGGATGTTCCTGGCCACCTGCCAGTTCTGAATCACAGGCTCAGAACTGCCCTTGTTCCCTGAGTAATTTTTCAAAGGCAGAGTTAGCAATTTAGTCATCCAAAAAGCTTTGTCATCAGTTCAAGCAATGGATTTTTCTACAGCACCTTCTGAGGAGGGTGTTTTCTTGCTCCAGTTTATAGAAGGAGTCTAAACTGCAAAGTTAATTTCCCCCCAGCGTATACTGGCATGAATGGGGAAATTAGTCACTCAGAGCAGTGAGTCAGGTTTGCTTCAACCTCTCTCCTTTTCTAGGTCAGAAATGCACGTCCCTGCAGTCGCCTTAAGGTTTGGCCTGATCCTGGAGGCATACTGCAGAGGCAGCACCCACCACATGAAAGTTTTAATGAAACAGGTGAGAATTGCTCTTAGCCGTAAGGTTGACCTCACTCGTGCTTGGAGGTGAGGGACACCTCCATATCTAAGATGCTGCTGCTTCTGTTTTCAGGAGTGAATATAGCTTTTTTAATAACCAGTCCTGCCCAACTGCACTGCAGGCCAGGGGCAGTAGGACTCCCAGGCAAGGGGTTTACTACTTTTCCAGCTCATGTACTTAATTTTCCTTCTGTGTTGCTTGATAACCTGCATTACTTTTGGGGTTTTAGGGCCGCACTCATTACCTCACAACTTTTTTTTGTTTGTTTTGTGCAACAGAATCTTCATAGTTCACTATAGATTTCCTTTAAGCCAACACTAGTTTTTTTTTGGTTGCAAAGTACAAAATTTGTTAGAAGTCAAGTGCTGCAACCAATGTTAACACTTCACAGCAGACTATTAAGTCTTTAAGTGTATGTTAAAGTTAATTTTCTGCATTTCTTGTTTGTTTAACACTCTTCCATCCCTCCCCTTTTTGCAGGGAGAAGCACTCAACAAGATGAAAGCTCTGAATGACTTTGTCAAAGTGAGTTCTCAGAAGGCCACGAAGCCTCAAACCAAGGAGATGATGCATATGTGCATGAAGCAGGAAACTTACCTTGAAGCACTTTCCCACCTCCAGTCCCCACTGAACCCCAACATTATCCTTGCTGAAGTTTGGTAAGGAAAATAGCTGCCTTTCCTCCTCAGTTGTGCCCTAGGCTCTGTCCAGCAGGAGAGTGAGGCTTCTGGTAACCCTGAGGCCCTCTTCCCTCCTGGTAGTTACCTGCCCAGCAGCATTTGTTGATGCTGTTGAATTTGCAGGTTCCC